AGTTTTCCAACCCAGGTCTGGCTCCAGCATCATCCAGACGCCTGGAAAGTCCTTCCTGCCGTCTGACTCCGATTTTTCCCGCTGCACTGACAGATCAGCCCCCCTTAGTCTCCATCTTCAAAGATGTTGAATTAGACGGGACCCTGAGTTAGGGCTGGAATCCTACCCTTCTTTTCCCAAGCTTCAGGCTAGGAATGTAGCTTGAGTCTGGGCCCACGCTAGGCTTTATCTAAACTCCTCCAGATTACCTAGCGAGGGGCTAGGCTCCAAAGAGGCTCAGAAGGACGAGACCCCAGGCTGGCCTCGGGGTGAAGTTTTGATCAGTTTCCCCTCTGGGATCACTTTGGGGGCAACACCAAACCCTCGTATTAATCCTTAGAAGCGCACGCCGAAGACAGAAGAGGGCCCTTCTCAGCTTCAGAATCCCCACCCATCTCAGAGGTGGGAGTTCCTGACGCCAGGATTTGTCCCGCCTTCCCCACACTCCAAAACAATCCTCAGTATCCCACTCCGTGCAGTGGACCCATGCCTCCCGCGCCTGCGCAGCCTGGAGACCAGCATCTTCTAAGGCTACAAGGAGCTAAAAATCGCTCCCGCCCACCCACAAGCTGGGCTGGACTTGAGGATCGAGCGCGGGGTTGGGGGGGGGTGTTGTAGTGGAGGGGGGTGGAAAGAAGAGTGAGGAAGGAGGCTGCCTAGGTGTCTGTCCAATTAGAGCAGTGGGAGGAATCCTGGTGGCCAGGCAGGTGCATGCAGGTCGCAGGGGGTCCCCACGCCTCGGAAAGGGGCTCCTGGGGTGGTGAGGGGTCAGGCTGCCGCACAAACATGTTTACGGCGGCTGCTGGCGCTGCAGCCCCGAGGGGCGCGAGCCCTGGGGCAATAACTTTGCTCTGCGCCCCCTCGCCCCCAGTCTGGCAGGGCGCCAGGGCGATGACTTCGGCCCCAGCCCCCTCCCCCTCCGGTGGGCCAGGAGCCCCTCAGGCTATCCTCGAGGGGAAGGGCTAGGCTGCACCCCCTCTGCCAGCTCCCTGGATGCCCGGGCGGCGCCTGAGGGGCGGGGTCCCCAGCGCGGCGGGACGCGCGGCCACCGCGTTCCCCGCGGATAGCGTCCCGAGGCCAACGGAGGGGGCTCCGGACCGACCCTGGCTCAAGTTCTCCCGCCCCCTGCCGGGCTCCGCCCCAGGCGCCGACCCCTTCTTCTCCACCCGGGGCCGGGGCCGCCGCCTACCTGCAGCCTCCGGCGGCGGATCAGGCCCGAATCGTCCATGGCGACGGCGGCGGCGGCGGCGGCGGCGGCGGCGGCTTC